AATCGACCTGCCGCCAGGTCGGAAGTTCATTGCAACCGACAGCTTGAACTTAAGGAATTGGGTGGCCTCTGGTGCAACAATAGTCGAATTTAAAGACGAAGGAGAAATGGTTTAAGAAGATGTTCAGATACGCGGTTGACTATATGCTTCATATCAACTTTAGATAGGCGAAATCGACTTGAAGTGCGTGAATATAATTAATGACGACCAAGAAGCATTGGTAGCGTTTGACTTCATACCGGACCAAAGGATCCTGTTTTGCTGTGTTAATAGTGGCACTATCTACACTCTGGATGTCCAAGAAACAGCGGTAACTTTAAAACCGAGAGTCAGTTTAATTTGAAATAAGTTATGGAATAAGTAGTGTTAAAGATGACATTATTAGAAATAAACTGTATTAACTGCTTCTTATTATGAAAATTATAATTATAAATACCAATTGCTAATACGAACATTAGCCATGCCAAAGCTCTAGATAAATTTAATGCGCAATTTCCTTATCAGTATTCTGAAAATATGGACTTTTCATGCCAATAAGTCAGTTTAGATAACCTTTTATCATTTTGAGTTGCGGAGTTAGACGCCTCGGTTTTCCTGATCTTGTGCAACCGCTTAGTTTACGGCAAGAACACAACTCCAGTCTCTAACGAAGTCCTTCAATACACTTGCCTATGGTTAATCTCGACCGTTCTTTGTATCTTCCACCGGTCGGTAGGGTAGGTAGTAGTTGCTTCGCCTTCATTTCTGGACTCATTAGCAACAGGCGCCCGAGTCTTCGCAGCTGAGGCTTGTCAGTCTGCCGAAGCACCGGCTGGAAATCAAGACTCCGTTATCTGAACAACGGTCTATAAGTCGAGATGAGTTAGCCAGGTGATTTGTCTCAGAAAGCCTCACCCTGTCTGCAGAGTTTATAAATTTTCACGTAGCGAATATTTATCGTAAAGAAGGTATTTATCGCTGTCATTTTGAGGGGAACGTCCGCTCACTTGCCACCTAATGAAGAAGATGGACGATCGCTGACTAGCTGCCGTCGTCGTGGAAAATTTATCTGAATTTTATCGTTGCCATTCAACATATCAGCATTGAAGTTGGATTTGTGCGTCTTGCATCAGTTTTCCAGAAACTGTATAACAATATATGGTAGATACAAATCACTCATACTGCTAGATGGAAGGTTCCCTCTATATAGGCTTAAAAATTGAAAGTCCCGAACGGTTTTAATTTAGTTTTATTTGGTCACTGACAGTATGAACACCCACGCATGAGAAGTTGCTGCAGTGTATTATTTTAAGCAGAGTTCACTCTTGGATAAGTGGCCCTATTTCATGCTTTTAAAACAGTTTACACATTCCAGCTGCTGATTTTGTGGCCATAGTTATATTGCCAGAAAAATGATAAAATTCCATCACTGATGCACGAATATTAGATGCTTGGTCTTAGATACTTGAGTTACGAATATCTGGGCTAACTCTGAGATGACTTTCAAGAATTGCGTGACCACGGTGAATCGAAGATATTAATACAGTTTAAGGAGCACTTTTCTAAAAGTATCAAGATTTAATATTAGTAATCGACATTTGAATGAACG